GGGGAGAATGGGAGGAAACAGCCTGAATTGCCGAGGGGAGTCCTGGTGACAAGATCTCCTGGAATTGTTCCCAACTGGAGAGAACAGGTGGTGTGGTTGCCATTAGCAGGCATCCCAAGGAGATCTAACTGGGCCATGTGTGAGGGAAGATGGTTGTCAGTGGGAGGTGGGAGGAGGGGGCCCACCCAGCTGTGTGAAAGGTTTGCCAAGATGGAGTTATGGTTTATTGAGTAGCAAAGAGCAACATCCAGCTGCCTGAGAATTACAGTGACAGGATGCAAAGGCGAGAGAATATTGTGTAAACCTTATTTACAGATCAATAGATAATCTTCCATACATAAAAGGTCAACTCCAGGGAGGCAGAGTGGTAAAGAAAGAAATATTGCCTGCAAATACTATATTGACTTAAAAAATAAAACAAAACAAAAAACCCAGATGAAGACTTTGATGCATATTCTTCTAGTTAAACTACCTTTCTTTATTCATGAATTTTTTTTTTTTTTTGCTAAACCACTTCAGGTTCCTCAGGGAATTGTGAAGGCAGAGATGAAGAGCGCTGATTTCTAGTTGTCTTGAATTCCGTGCCATCAACTGATCAGCATGAAACGGAATCAACGCTGAGAACTACAGAACAACATTTCTGAGTATGTGTGTGTAGCAATCAGGATGCTCAAGTCAAATAGCGACTCACCCCTAACCCCTGTAATTTCCTGCTTTGGTGGCTGCAGCGATAAACGTTTATCTTGACTTACGGAAAAAAACAACAACTCAATCCTACTGATCCCCTGTGGATCCATTCATCCATTTTGTGCTTTTCTTGGCCTTGAAGCAAGCAGTTCATCTTCCCAAAAAATATCTGAAATCGTTGCCACCCACCTATACCTGGCTGCTGGATCGTGAAACTGTTCATGACTGTGGCTCAGAAACCAATGAGCATGGAAGGACATGGAAGCTTAACTGGGCTTGGTTTCCATGATATAATCTTCCAGATTAGAGGACCAGCTGTGAATTTAGGTGATCTCTCTTAAATTTTGGAAGATATTTCAGAGGGCCATGGTCTGAGCCCTAAGCAGGTGCAGTGCTGGTAGGAGAGCTGCTCCAATTCCCAGGGTTGGGTGCCCCATGCCCAGGACAAGTGGATAAGTGGGGGAGGGTCCACCCTGGGCAAGGAGATGCCTTCAGAAGGCTTAAGATGGGCAACTCTTAGTCAAAATGTCCTGATGGAAAGCTGCATGGTCATGTATGTGAAAGGATTTTGTACCCTGCTGTTATTAGCTGCCGTCAAGTCCAGCCCTGATTCATGGTGACCCCATGTGCAACGAAACACAACACTGCCTGGTCCTGTGTCATCCTCATGACTGGTTGTGTATCAGACCTTTGTAATCCATAGGGTTTTCACTGGTTGATTTTCAGAAGTAGATCACCAGACCTTTCTTCCCAGTCTGTCTTAGTCTAGGAGCTCTGCAGCAACATGCAAGCCTCCACTGACAGATGGGAGGTGGCTGCATGGGAGGTGCATTGGCCGGGAATGGAACCCAGGTCTCATGCACGGAAGATGAGGATCTTACCACTGAACCACGAGTGGCTTTTGTACACTCTAGAATTATATAAATACAACTTTTTTTTAAGAGCAATCAAGGAGACTCCTTTGATAATGACACAATCACTCCAAACTACTTATTAATTCTTCTCTTTCCCTAGTTAAAGGGCAGATTTAAAATGCTATAACAGTAACCTCCTCTCAGAAGAGAATGTGGCTGGAATCTGTCACCTCCAACCTTGTGTGACCTTGATAGGGGGTGGAGGTGAGACTGAGGACTACTCAACATCTCAAAGGGAAAAAAGGACACCAAAGGAGGCTGGACATGATGACAGACATCACAGGTATCAGCCTCTTCTAGAGTCAAAGTCATGCTTTGTCCCCTCTGTTCTGCCCAGTCGCCCTCCTCCCATCTAGACCTGTGCTTTCCATGCCCACGTCCTCACAAGTCCCTCAGAGGGAGGGCTAAGGGTCCTTACTATTAAGAATAAATGCTGTTGGCCAAGAGGCATGGGCCAACAACAGAGTCAAATTCTGGATA